GGCAGACATCCCATAATGACAGAACTTCATTTTAAGTCATCGGGAAGTTTAGTGGCGCAGAATTTATTTTTCTCACAAGGCACATTTCCCTTCCACTCCCCCCCCCCGGAAGCAAGGTGATACAACTCCGGTCCACCTTCCCAAAAATGAGTCTCGTTTGAAGAGGTCCCCAAAACATCTGCTTGATGGACGCCCATCCCGTCTTCTCCAGTCCAGGGAGGACGGATGTGGGCCGGCTCAGTGAGCCAGGGTGTTGTTATCCCCCGTGCTGAAGGGGAGGCTCACGGAGCTGCAGCTTTTGCTGCGTTTGCTCTTCCGTCCCCAGGCGAGGAGACCCCCGGAAGCTTTGCCCGGCAAGGGGGTCTTGCGGTTGTTCTCTTTGTTGCTTTTCAGCACGGCTCCCGCTCCGGAGGTGGCGGCTGTCGGCTTCTTGTCCGTTTTCTGGAGAAAAAGGAAGGCCCGATGGTCAAGAACCTCTTGGGTTCCAGATTATGCAAGGGGAGATTGCAATACCTAGCACTGCGAGGGCCAACCTATGGCAGGAATCCCACAGGTGGCACACTGAACCCTCACTGCGGGCACTTGAGCAGTTGCCCCAGCTCAGCTCCACTGCGCATGCGTGTGCGCCTCCCACCAGCTAGCTTATTTTGGGGTCTCTGCCACGCATGCATGTGGGGGGCCACATGCGGGGAGATGCACATGCATGTGTCAGGAGCGGGGGTGTTTTACACACATGCATGATAGGTGGTGCGCGCTGGGGGGGGCACCCCACCTGGCCTGTTTTTGCTCCCAGGAGGCTGCAGGGGAGCCTACGAGGCCCAAAATGAATGTCTGTGTTGCGCGGACATGTGTGGGAGGGGGGGGTCACGTGGGGGGTTTCACACATGGATTGTATTATGGTTTCGGCGCCCAACGACAAAAGGGTTAGCCATCCCTGACCTAGTACAACGGAAGGCCTTCCCTCTCTCTGAATCTATGTCGGGAAAGAGTTGGGATGCGAAGATGCACAGTTTGGTCGAACAGTTCCACAAGAAACAACCTCGGAAGCCAAAGGGAGCTCTTGCAAGCGGGGAGGAAGAGGTGGTTAACGGAAACACTGATTAACCTCTAGGTGGCTTCTTTTCTGTTTCAGGAGCTCCTCCTCAGTTAAGGGGGTCCGACTGTCAACTCTGAAGCGAACCTGGCTGAGGCCAACTTGGGGGTTTCAGGGTTACCACACGGAAGAAGAGATGGAGGGGGGGGGAAATAGATAGCTGGGGTTTTAGAGTCATGACAAAAGGTTTTCTTGTGGGAACCAAGGACATCCCAACGAATGGCTGAGGAGAGGAGCAGTGGTGGGTTCCGGGCTGTACGGTCCTGTCTGGGCGTACCAGTAGTAGCCAGGAGCAGCAGCCACCATACCGGTATGGTGGCTCGTTTGGCCCACCCACCCGGGGGCGCCCGCATTCCTTACCTGTTTATAACGCGACCGGCCAATTGCGCACATATATGCACAGTGCCTGCGCAACCAACACCGAGCATCTGGGTGTCGCAGGGCCGCGTACTGGTTGCGACGGGATTGGAACCCACCACTGGAGAGGAGGTGTGGAGTAACCAAGCAACTGGCTCTGTTGGGCAATGTGGCTGATGACTTGGGGAGGGGGGGGGGAGGGAAACCTTTTAATGAGGTGAGTCACAGAGTCGGTTTTCACCAGTCTTGCCAGTTTGAAATATCCCATAAATTGTTCTTTGAGGAATCTACCTGCCTCGGAGTTGCATTACTCGGGACGCTGACAAATAGGTTTTATCGGTAATCCTCGACTTCATGGAGCCCCAAATTGATGTGGCCAAGCGAGACATTTGTCGAGTGAGCTCTGTCCCCATTTTACGACCTTGCCTGCCACCATTGTTAAGTGAATGCCTGCAGCTGTTAAATTAGCGTTCCGGTTGTTAAGCGAAACTGGCTTTTCGCTTGTCAGGTTGCAAAAGCGGATCACACGACCCGGGGGACACTGCAACCGTCGCAACTACGAACCGGTTGCCAAGCATCAGAATTTTGACCACGTGACCACAGTTGCATGCTGCCCTATGGCTACTACCCTATGAGCCAAGGTGGCGCAGTGGTTAAATGCAGCACTGCAGGCTGACTGCTAGATCAGCAGTTCAGCGGTTCAAATC